CAATTTCGAGCAGAACACGAGCTGAACACGAACACCAACATTTAAATCGAGTTGAACACGAACACACGAACACATTGTTCACGAGCTGATTTCGAACACGAGCCGATTTCGAACATGAGCTATTTCGAACGAGCCGAAGCTCAAGCTCGGCTCGTTTACAGCCCTATTTCCGCCTTGTTTAAAAGGAAAGTCATGCTAAGAGAGAGGAGGGTTCTTCATCCCTTCTCTCTCTTTTTCTCCCTAAAACAAAAGTTTGGAAATCTTCAAAGAATTGAGCCCACATGTTGAAGTGGCTGAACTGAGCCAACCTACCAAAATGATTGAACTAAGCCCACCTTTCGAAATGGTTGAACCCAGCTCATCTATCAAACTAGCTGAACTAATCTCTGCTACCCATGAGGAGCAGTACAACCTGCACAAAGAGATACGACTACTAAATATGGTCATCATTACCAGCAAGGACGTAGGTCTGCCCAACTTTAAAAGCGTTGTCTAACAACCACATCACAGTCTTTTCATCAAGACATAATGGAAGTGAGTCGTACAATACTTAAGATTTTTTTTTTTTTGTTATTTTCTCTCCTAGTATAGAAAGAATGCCAAGCTAAGAGAGAGGGAGTTCTCTCTCTCCCTCCTCTCTCTCTCTCCCTCATTCCAAATAATTTTGAGTAGGCCATGGATGATTGTGGCCTGAGGCGTATGTGATGACTAACATGTTGGGATCTGTTCGACCGATCTGTTCGGCTGCGCTCTACTTGTTTTCTTGCCGAGCATCCTTTGGAGGCTCCAAATTGGAGCTGCTGCATCTGTAATTTTTAATTTATTTCAATAAAACATGGTTTTTTCAAACTTTAGCATTACATTCATTTATAGTTTTAACTATTCCAGAAAGTTTGTTGAGCAGCTTATTGTTTCTACAATCTCTTAAAGTTACTAGTGAATATTTCTAAATCCTTTTTGAGCGGATTCTTCTATTGATAATGCAAATGAATGTTTTGTCACTTCTAATTAATTTCATTGTTCATTAGTATCGAGAAATTTATGGCGAAGAAAAATAGGAATCGACACAAATCCAGAAGAACATGCAGAGATTTACGAGATTCGGCAAAGATGCTTACATCTTCAGGAGCAGAACGACGACTTTATTTTCAATATTCAGAAAATAGTACAGAATACATAATTCAGCTCTCAGACTATCAGCGACTCACATAGAGTTACAAACATGACATATTTATTACCCTATAGTACAATATGTAATTACTTAAATTATCCATGTACCAAATCACAGCAATCGCGGGATGTTGTCCTCTCACCTCCAACCCACATAATGAACCTCCCCCGATTGGACAGATCCTTCCGCTCCACTCCACTCCGCTCCAGCACCTGTCCCATTTATTGTATATGAGCGCTAATTCCTCCAACTCACTAAATTCCAAGAGATAACAATCACTCACTTTTATATTTAGGGGCAATTACATACAAATCTTTGAAGAAGATGCATTATTGTTGTTTTTTGAATTAGATTATGAGTTATACCTAACAAATCTCCACCTTGACAAATATCCAACCCCTTAGGAGAAATACATATGTCCAACAAATCTTCAGATTGGCGAATATCCAGCCCCTTAGGAGAAATACATCATAGAGTTTCTTATGCACCAATGTAGTTTGGGTCACCACGCTTCCGTTGCGCCCTCGCTGCCCCTAGCCCACATAATGACATTCCCCCAATTGGACAGATCCTTCCGCTCTACTCTGCTCGTGGGCTCCGCTCCGCTCCAGCATCTGTCCCATTTATGGTATATGAGAGAGCCAGGTTTATTTCTTGTGCATTTGAAGGTAATCTATGCTTCGAGCTTTTAATGAAATTCCTATTGTTGGCCTTTGGCTCACTTCTTGGGACTGCTCAAAACAATAAATACGGAATTGTGTATGCAAGTAGTGTTGAGTGCAAGTAGTGTTGAGAATTGGAGTTGAGAATTGGACCTTATTTAGGGTCTAATTGGTACAAAACGAATCTTGAAGAAGTCTAGGGGTATAAATCCGGAAGTGTAATGCTTCTTTTTCTTCATAAACTTCATTTATTTAGGTTTTGAAATTCATAACTGAAGCACTTGGAAAAACCTCTTTATTTAGTATTTTTTTCTGATTCAGATGCTGCATGGTACTTTTGAACCTCAAAATTTTGAGGTTCATGATCATTGCTACTGCAGTTAACGCACCAATGGTCCCTGCTGAGGCATTCAAGACAAGTTTGATGTTTTCAGATGCTATTAGAAACAAGGCAAACTTACATACATACCACACAATTCTTATTGCCCTCTGCTGGTATTTCAGCTGCCCGTGCACACAATAACACAAAAATTTAAACAACAAGAACTTGATGGAATCTTCATCTTTTTGGCTGATTGACTGAATCAAAGCATCAAGGTTGTCTTGTTAGAATCACGTGATAGGATTAGTGGTCGAGCTTGCACTGATTGCACATTTGGTTTTCCAGTTGACATGGGCGGTGCATGTAAGGGTGTAAACAAGCCGAACCTCAACTTGTTTATATTTAGAACACACAAAATTTGTTCGTGTTTGGCTCGTTTTATTAGCGAGTCGAACACAAGTTGTTCGCGAACAAAGAGTCGTTTTGACAACTCTAATCACGTAGCCATAAGACATCAAGGGTTTGAGCAAAATTTAAAAATTATTATTTATATTAAAACATCATTTGAACCTAATTTAATATTTTTTATTCTATTTTCTTAATTAATATTTTAATTGATTATAAATTTTTGTAGTCTTGTAGTCAATTAGACTTTTTTAAAATACAACTATATATATATATATAATTGATGAGTAGTATGT